GCAGATTGGATTAAAAAGCAAAACCCAACAATATGCTGATTCAAGAGACTCACCTCATGGGCAAAGACATCCACAGGCTGAAGATCAAAGGATGGAAAAAAACTTATCACTCACATGGATTGTGTAAACAAGAAGGGGTTTCCATTCTCATTTCAGATAAAGTAGACTTTAAACCAAAGTTAATCAGAAGTTATAAAGAAAGACATTTCATACTTCTTAAGGGAAGTATATATAAGCAGGATATAACAATCATAAATACTTATGCCCCAAACAAAGGAGCATCTATATACATAAAAAAAATACCTTCTCAATTTCAAGAGTCAAATAGAACAATAATACTGGGTGACTTTAACATACCGCTCTGACTACTGGACAGATCTTCCAAACAAAAACAAAAATTATGGTATATATGTGTATTAAGAATTGTAATGCAAAAAAAAGTACATGTATAATGGCATAAGTAGACATGAACATACTTTATATACAGAGATACGAAAAATTGTGCTCTATATGTGTAATAAGGATTGTAATGCATTCCACTGTTGTTGTGTATTTTAAAAAAATAATAAAATCAATTTTTAAAAAAAGAATTGTAATGCAAAACAAAAAAGAATAGTGTTACCTTAGATTAGGTAGAGAGAAGTAAAAGGATGGGAAGGCAGGGGATGTGGGGATAAGAAAGATAGTAGAATGAAACAGACACTATTACTTTATGTATATATGTAACTGTATGACCAATATGATTCTACAATATGTATACTCAGAAAAATGAGAAATTATATCCCATCTATGTATATCAAAGTATATAAGTGCATTCTACTCTCATGTATAACTAATTAAAACATATAAAAAATTAATTAAAAAAAGAAAAAAAAACTAAATAAGGAAACTATAGAACTAAATAATGCAAGCAATAATTTAGATTTAACAGACATATATAGAATATTTCATCCATCAATGAATGAATACAGTTTATTCTCAGCAGCACAGAACTCCTTCTCTAAAATAGGCCATATCTTATGCCACAAAGCAATTCTTAGTAAATACAAAAAAACAGAGATAATACCTTGCATTCTATCAGACCAAAATGGAATGAAATTAGAAATCAATGACAAAATAAAAAATAGAAGCTACTGTAACAAATGGAGACTAAATAATACACAACTGAATGATGAATGGATAATAGAAGAAATTAAGGATGAAATAAAAAATTCTTAGAGGTAAATGAGAACATTGATACAATGTATCAAAGTCTCTGTGACACTATGAAAGCAGTAATAAAAGGAAAGTTTATTGCATTGAGTGCATTCATTAAAAGAATAAAAAAGTCAACCAAAAAAATGACCTAATACCACATCTTAAAGCCCTAGAAAAAGAAGAACAAATCAATCCCCAAAGCAGAAGACAGGAAATAATTAATATCAGAGCTGAAATCAATGAAATTGAAACAAAATAAACAATAGCAAAAATTGACAAAACTAAAAGTTGGTTCTTTGAAAATATAAATAAAATTGATAAACCATTAGCCATGCTAACAAAGAGAAGGAGAGAGAAAACTCAAATTACTAAAATACATAATGAAAACGGAAATATCACAACAGACACTACAGAAATGCAGAAGATAATTAGAAGTTATTTTGAAAATTTGTACTCCAATAAAATAGAAAATATCGAAAGCATCAACAAATTTCTATAAGCATGGGATGTGCCCAAACTGAATCAGAATGATATACTCAATTTAAACAGATCAATTTCAAGTGACGAAATAGAAGACACTATCAGAAGCCTACCAAACAAGAAAAGCCCAGGACCGGATGAATACACAGCTGAGTTCTACAAGACCTTTAAAGAAGAACTAATACCAATACTCTTCAAATTAATTCGTGAAATAGAAAAAGAGGGGGCACTTCCAAACTCACTCCATGAGGCCAATATCACCCTGATTCCAAAACCAGGCAAAGAATTATCAAAGAAAGAAAACCTCAGACCAATATCTCTAGTGAACATAGATGCAAAAATTCTCAATAAAATTCTGGCAGATCAAATACAAAAACATATCAAAAAGATAGCACACCCTCCCAGGGGTGCAAGGTTGGTTAAATATATGGAAATCAATAAATATAATTCATTATATCAACAGACTTAAAGCTAAGAACCATATGATCATCTCAATAGATGCAGAAAAGCATTCAACAAAATACAGTACCCCTTCATGTTCAAAACACTAGAAAAACTAGGGATAGCAGGAACATATCTCAACATTGTAAAAGCTATCTATGCTAAGCCCCAGGCCAACATCATTCTAAATGGAGAAAAATTTGAAAGCATTCCCTCTAAAAATGGGAACAAGACTAGTACTTATTCACCACTTCTATTTAATACTAGCCAGAGCAATTAGAGAGATGAAAGAAATTAAAGAGATACGGATAGGAAAAGAAGAACTCAAATTAGCCCTGTTTACTGACAATATGATTCTATATCTATAAGACCCAAAATACTCTACAGAAAACTTCTAGAACTAATAAATGAATTCAGCAAAGTAGCAGGATATGAAATCAACAGCCATGAATCAAAGGCATTTCTGTATATCAGTGACAAATCCTCTGAAAGGGAAATGAGGAAAACTACACCATTTACAATAGCCTCAAAAAAAAAAAAAAAAAAAGAAAGAAAGAAAGAAAAGAAAAAAACCTTGGGAATCAACTTAATGAAAGGTGAAAGACATCTACGACAAAAACTACAGAACACTAAAGAAAGAAATTAAAGAAGACCTTAGAAGATGGAAAGATCTCCCTTGTTCTTGGATAGGCAGAATTAATATTGTCAAAATGACCATACTATCAAAAGCACTATACAGATTTAATGCAATTCCAATCAAAGTCCCATTGACATTCCTCATAGAAATAGAAAAAGCAGTCATGAAATTCATCTGGAAAAATAAGAAACTTAGAATAGCTAAAGCAATCCTTAGCAAGAAGAGCGAAGCAGGTGGCATCACTATATCAGAACTTAAAGCATACTACAGAGCAATAATAACAAAAATGGCATAGTATTGGCACCAAGATAGACTTGTATATCAATTGTACAGAACAGAGGATGCAGAGACAAACCCACATAAATACGGTTATCTCATACTAGACAAGGATGCCAAAAATATTTACTGGAGAAAAGATAGCCTATTCAACAAATAGTGCTGGCAAAACTGGAAATCCATATGTAGCAAAATGAAATTAAACCTCTATCTCTCACCCTGCACAAAAATCAACTCAAAGTGGATCAATGACTCAGGCACTAGAATGGAGACCCTGCACCTAATAGAAGAAAAAATAGGCCCAAATTTATACTATGTCAGCCTAGGATCTGACTTCCTTAACAAGACTCCTAAAGCACAAGTAAAATCAAGAATTAATAAATGGGATGGATTCAAATTTAAAAGCTTCTTCTCAGCAAAGGAAACAATTAATAATGTTAAAAGAGAGCCTACAGATTGCGAGAAATCTTCACCACATGCATCTCTGATAAAGCATTAATCTCTAGGATATATAAAGAACTCAAAAAACTTACACCCATAAAACAAATAACCCAATCAATAAATGGGCTAAGCAACTGAACAGATACTTCAAAGAAGAAGAAATACAATTGGTCAACCAATATATGAAAAAGTGTTCAACATCTCTAGCAATTAGAGAAATGGAAATCAAAACTACTCTTAGATTTCATCTCACTCCTGTCAGAATGGCAATCATCAAGAATAGAGGCAACAATAAATGTTGGTGAGGATGTGGTGAAAAGGTACACTCATACATTGCTGATGGGACTGCACATTGATGCAACCACTATGGAAAGCAGTATGGAGATTCCTCAGAAAACCGAGAATGGAACCACCATTTGACCCAGCTACCCGACTTCCTGGTTTACACCCAAAGGATTTAAACTCAGCGTGCTATCGTGATGCAGCCACATCAATGTTTATAGCAGCTCAATTTACAATAGCTAGACTGTGGAACCAACCTAGGTGTCCCTCAATAGATGAATGGATAAAGAAAATACTCAATGGACTATTACTCAGCTTTAAAGAAGAGTAAAATTATTTTCCAATAAATTGTTGGAGTTGGAAAATATCATGCTAAGCAAAATACACCAATCCCACAAAACCAAAGGCTGAATGACTTCTCTAATATGCAAAAGCTAATTCACAATAAGGGGGGGGGGGGGCACTAGAGAAGAATAGCTTTACCTTAGATTAGGTAGAAGGAAGTGATGGGAGGGAAGGGGAGCAGATGTGGGGATAGGAAAGATGGTAGAATGAAATAGACATCATTACTGTATATGTATATGTGACTGCATGACCAATATGATTCTGCAACATGTTACACTCAAAAAAATGAGAAATCACATCCCATCTATGTATGATATATCAAAGTGCATAAATGCATTTTACTGTCATGTATAACTAATCAAAACAAATAAAAAATTTAAAATAAATAAACAAAATTCAAGTCCTCTAAACTGGAAGAAAACTCAAAAATAATTACTTTGGTGGCTTTTGTTATCTTTTTATTAGATTTTATGAGAAACTAGTAGTAAAATATGAGAACATGTCAGCATACATACTACATATATTTTTAAAATATATATTATATTTGCTGAAGGTTACCAGTCCCCAGAATCACTAATAAATTTTCATATTTGGTGAAAAGTCTGACAAATCCAAATTTTAAAAAATAATTTTTAAAGTTACACTATCAGTCTCATCATTTTCTTCTTTATCTGGTGTTCCCTAAGTTCTGATGTGGTCAGGAAGAAAACCTGGGAAGATAAAGATTCCCCATGAAAATCCAGATACTCTTTCTTATTTCAAATTTTCAAGACCCACCATAGGGTCAGGAAAGAGACTTTTAACTTTTGAAAGGCCACTGGAGTTTCAAGCAAGCAGCATTTCATAAGTGGGCACACCCCACCCTCAGAGCTAAAAACCCATCCTTTGAACAGATCATTACCTTTCGAATAAAGTTGACATGGCATTCACCCTTCTGCACACGAGGAGGGCAGCTGGGAGGCACCTCACGGCTGGTGTAAGCTTTGCTCTGTTTTGTGGCGTACAACACTGCTGACTGGAAACGCAGCTCAATGGAGTTCACGTCTCTGATCACATTGGTAATATCAAAGATCTGTATTAAAGGGGAAGAACAGACATCCCCATGATGTACAAGAATTCTTGTATCTAAAATTTTAGATAAAGGTAGGATATATGAAAAATGTATAAAATATTCAAATCTAGAGTTAGCCTGCCGATGAAAAGCAGCTCTCCAAAACAGCAGAACTTAGTTACCCACTTTTAATTATAACTAAGCATATTCCCCCACCCAAACACAGATTTCTAGGTTTCTCCTTCTATTTTTACTGACAGATGATGGTCCAGGGAAATAGAACAGAAAGTATCTTTAGTCCTGGAATGTCTGCTCTAGCTATTTGCACGCAGCCTTGAACTGCCAAGGATTCCTAGACACATCACGACAACCCAACTCTCTGGAATGCACAGCATGTATTTCTAAGTCATAGTTATATATATATATATTTGAAATGCCTACCCTTGAAAGGAAAAGGAGATCAGGATACAATCTCTTACTCTATTCCAGAAAGAAAACATTTTCTTTTAAAAATAATTTGTCAGTTGTCATCTCCCGTGCAACTCTGGCTCACTGGACAACAGAGAAGAGAATAGCACTGTCCCACACTTCCTAGATACCAAGAACTTTCCAATCATCTCATAATTTGCTTATTAAATCCCCATGATCTATAGTGTTTTCATGACTATACAAATGGGGCAACTGAGAAATACAGTAACTTACTCCTTGTTGCAAAAAGCTTACATTTGTCTCATGGCCAGTTATGCACTTGCCATTCTCTATCTACAAAACAACACAAACACACATGAATTTTTTTCAACCTGATATCATTATGTACTTACGTATTTGGTGAACATGTTGTCAGTTTTCCCAATAGTGACGTTATTCAACAGGATTTCTGAAACTGTATCAACTCCCTCAAATATCAAATTTATCATTTGCCATTTGCTAGGAAAAGAAAACATTTTGAAAGCAAGATGCATAAACATTAACTTACAAAAGTCTTTTTGTAATTAAGAACTAAAGAAATATTTCACAGAAAATGTACATTCTTAAACAGTAATTTTCAACAGAAGTATCAGGAATATTTGTTTAATATTTATTGCTATTTTTTGTTTAATATTTGTTGCTATTTTTTGAGTAATCCAGTTCATCATTATCTATAATATATCTATAAATCACCATAAAATCCAGCACAACTTATAATTTCCAACTGCATCGTTTTTTCTTTCAGTTACTTCACAAAGTTCTTACGAGAATCAAGTTAAATAATAGACACAAAACATTTTCGCAAACTATTACATTCACTGACACTACCTAAGAGAATGTATTAGCTACTAATTTGTATCTCTAAGTGAATGCTATGTGCCCAATACTATGCTAAGCCTCGCAGGAACATGCTCTGAACTTAAGGAGTATGAAAGCTGGCTAGTATTCAAGCCAAATACACAGGAAACAAAAACTTCCAATCTATCCTACTATGTAGTAGAGCCAGAAACAACTTAGGCACTGAAGACTGGAAAATTATGCTTCATTAAGAGAAATAACAAAGCCATTAGGACATAAAAAAATTTTTTAAGAGGGAATATCAGTTGGTTGAATTTTGGATATGTAAAGCTCAAAGTGAAATAAGACTGCTCGGGAGGTGTTATAAGTCATTTGAAAATAAAAGCCTGGAGCCTAGTAACTCCATGATACTAAGCATGATACTAAGTTTTGAATTAGTTTTTTAAGAGACTAGAAAATAATTACCAAAAAGTTTCATATAAAGGGGACAGAAAATTTTTAAAATTTAATAATAATGGTGGTGTATATACTTAAATTACATTCTTCTTTATATAGAAATATATGCTTATAATAACACAGAGCATTACTGAAAATAGTAACTGTAGTTCTCTTCATGGCTTCATAACATGGCATAAATCCAAGGTCTTAGTCTCAGTAGCTGGTCAGCACCACACAGAACAAATCAAGTATCTCTGATTCTATTTAACAATGCTATAAAATGCATACATACACTTACTGGTTACTGGGGAGAGGGTGGAGAAGAGGAAATTTACATAGGAGAACTGACGAGGTCTAAGTGACTTCATTATAATCATTGGACAAATGATTCCATAAAACATGATTTCATGATTAATGATCAGTGGCAAACACAAAACATTAATCACACATTCACTCTTATTATAGTAAAAGGCTTTAATCTGACTTAATTCTCTGATATACAACCTAAGCAAAGGTAAAAGAAAGCTCAAATAATAACTATAGTATATGTACAAATAACTATTGTGTATGTACCTGCTATCAAAAGGAATTTTAAATTCCTTGCTATAAATCCAGTTATCCAAGGAAATCCATCTGTAGTTAAGGTCATTAAATCCATAGTAAGGATCCTGTTGACAAAAGATAAAAATTATTGTAGACAGCTAAGTATATAAAAATAAATCAATAAAACAAATTTCTAACAAAAGTTATTGATCACCTAAAAATTAATGAGCTCTTGGCCTAAGAGCACAAAAAGGTCAGATGGTTAACAATGAAAAATGTGGAAGAAAAAAATTCCAACAAAACACCTGAAAATGGAAACGTTCTGAGATATAAATAATATGGTTTAATTATCAAAGAACGTGGGGAGACTAAGATTGGTAGCACTTGTTAAAATCTGACAAAACCTCTAAAGTATTGGTAGAGACTGAAAGACAGTTTTGACAATAGCCAGCACTCTCAAGGCCTTTTAGTTCTCATTTTGCTTGTTGCTGCCACTACCTCGCTGGCCTCCAGGGGGCACACTTCTCTTCTACTGCCCAAAGGTCAGTAAAACTCCCATTCTTTGGATTCCTTTATTATTTCCAAAGTTAATTTTTTCATTAACTTTACTAAGTGGCACACAAATGATGTCTATAGAGAACACACAGCACACATACAGATAGTTTAACTTACAAACAGAAGGTTTCCTATATTATCCTTGATCAGATATGCAAACTGCTACCCACGAGCCAAATGCAGCTCCCTGCCTGTTTTGTGTGGCCAGCAAGCTAAGAATATGTCCATATATGAAAGTTTCATTGGCACTCAGACATGCCTGTGCCTTTACATATTATATACGATTGTTTCATGCTGCAGTGGCAGAGCCAAGTAGAGGTGTCAGAGACCATATGGCCTCAAAAGTAAAAAATGTTTATTATCTAGCACTTTACTGAAAACACTGGGCATCCCTTGCCCAAGACTAGCCTCCTAAGTGTTCACATATCTTGATTCAGTTTATCTGGCCCCAAGTCCTCCCTTTAATAATCTCCATATCATTCTTTCCCTACCCATTTTCCACCTTTGACCTTTCATAAAAGGGCTCCCAGGCAGACAGCAGAACAGACAGTAGTAAGTGAAGCTTTTCAGTTTGTCTGTGAACATCACCGTGGCTGCAGAGAAGAAAGCTGTGTAGGCACAGAGGGACTCCTCCCGTCATCACGGACAGGGTCAGGGGTTATTAACTTAGGGAATACAACTCCAGATGGAGGAAAAACCAACTTTGTCTAGGTTCCACAAAGGTAAGAGCTAAATGACCTGGTTAGGGTAGCAGTGGCCAGCTGACAGCTGTCCTGGACACCAATCTGTCAGAGGCACTAGAGCATCACTGAGTATGTGTGTATCAAGATCAAGATAGGAGCAGTCAGCCACAAACTACTCCTAAATGGAAGAAATGTTTCTATAACCTACAGGAGAGAGTAAATAACGAGATTCAATAACAACTGGTAATTATCAAACTGATTTTTTTTTTTTTTAGTAGCAGGGATTAAATCCAGGGGCACTCAACCATTGAACCTATTTATTTATTTATTTATTTATTTATTTTGAGATAGGGTCTCACTAAGTTGCTTAGGACCTCACTAAGTTGCTGAGCCTGGCTTTGAACTTGAGATCCTCCTGCCTCAGCGCCCCCGAATGCCACCACACCTGGCTATCAAATTGATTTTTAAGTTCTGGTTAATGTTAAGGTTTTATTCTGTTAAAAGGTGTGTGTCAGGCCCAATTAACTTGCCTCTTTTCCTTCTCACCCCACACACAGGACTCAGCCTCTCCAATGAATAAACATGGAACAAATATTTAAGGACACAGGTTTGAAGAAGCACTTAATTGTTAACTTAGCCAAGTGTCTCTACCAGACCCCTATTTATAACTCTACATTGTGGACTTAGTCCAATACAGTTAAAAATATCATGAGAAGTAAAGTGTGAGAGCAACTCTGCCACAACACCTCAACACAACAGGCCCGGGGCTGGCTGGCCATCTGGCTGTCAAACCTCAAGTCCCCATCCTGTCTTCCAGGTCCTAGGAGGAAGCTGCATGTTCAGTTCAAGAGGGCAATCTTTCTAGGTACATTTTTTCATATACAAACAGAATTTACAGGTTAAAATGTTTCTCTGACTTGAGAGAACCCAATCTGAGAAATCTTCATACTGTATAATTGCAAATACATGACATTTTTCAACAAAAATCTGTCTGGAACTGAGCTCCTGCCCTAGGCCCCAACAGATCAGACCAGACCAGACCAGACCAAAATGGCATCACTCATGTGAAATGCCATATAATCAAACACAAACTTTAAGGAAGCAGGTAGATCCCCAAACAGACCAGGTTTTTCTAAAAACAGGGTATTCCAGTTCATGGAATTTAGCGTAATAAAGAAGTCCTCTCTGCTTTAACTCTTAAAAGAAAAGGAACCCAACATGTTTTTTTTTTTTCTATTATCTGTTTGCCTGTTGCCATCTTAAAACCTCCTACTGTTCCGCCAATGAGTGGGAGGTCTCATTCCTTTTTAGAGAATGGAGGTGGTTCTGGTTCATAAATTGTGAATAAAACCTCACTGAACCTTTAAATTTGTTGTCATAATTTTGTCTTTTAACACAGAAAAGGCAAAACTACAAGAGACAGTAAAAGGATCAGTGGCTGCCAAGGGTTGAAAGGGAAGGAGGGATGAATAGTTGGAACACAGAGGATGTTTAAGCAGTGAAACTATTCTGTGTCATTCTATAGTGGTGTATATGTGCCATTATACATTTGTCCTAATCCACTGACTGTACAACCAAAAGTGAGCCCAGATGCAAAGTGTGGACCTTGGGCAATAATGATGTTTCAGTGTTGGTGCATTGATTGTAACAAATGCACCACTTTGTATCACTCTGGTGGAGAATGTCCATAGGAGGGAAGCTGTGCTGGTGTGGTATAGGGAACACTCTGTACTTTCCATTCAATTTTGCTCATGATCTATAACTGCTCTATAAAAGATAGTCTATTACAAATTTTGTTCTTACTAAGGAAAAATACCATATAAAACAGTTGCAGAGGCTTAGACTGCATTTATAATAACTACTCCAAATGTTAATCAACCAACTTTTTAGTTCGAGATTGATCCAACCCCCTAGAATCATATTAAAATTCTGAGTCCTGTTTAAAGCAAACAGCAGCTCAGTGTTAACTTTTAATACTGAGGACCCAGGTATATCACCGAGCTATTAAGCAAACCCATGAACCCTAAGACCAATAACAGTATTATTGCTGACCACGTACTGGATATCACCCTCCAAACAGGCACTCAGATATTCTTATCTTCACAATAAACACATACAGTAAATATCATTTTACAGAGGAAGAAACTAAAGCTCCAAAAGCTGAAGTGTCTTTCCTGAGGTCCGGTAACCAAGCAAAAAGAAACCAGCTTAGTCTAACACCATTTCTTTGGACTAGATTATATGCTTCATGTCACATTTACTTACACTCTTATGTCAGATGACATCTGCAACATTCATAATCATAGCTAAAAGTTACTGCCTGTGACCCTACCAGGTAGGTACAATTATCATTCCCATTTACTCACAAAGAATTCAAGGCTCAAAGGCAAGCAGCAATCAAATTATGGAGCACTGACTCAGACCTAGGAAATGTGTCTCAGAGTCCACACACGTAATCATTACCTAGTAGAGCCATTAGTGTCATAAACACCATCAGTAGTTACAATGTCAATGCTATTTATAAAGCACGAACCATGAGATAAATATGGCATGTGTGTGCCTGAGCTGGTTATTTATAATTGATATTTACCCAACTTACAACATATCAACAAACCAGGTATCATCAGCACAACTAAATGACAGCATTAGTCTCATTTTCTCTGTAAGCTTCTGGCCTCCATTTATTATAGATATATAGACTGGTTATAGATGTACAGACTACTTAACCAGATATAGATATTCCTCCCAAACTCTGCTTTCGCCCAGAGTCTGACATACATTCACATTGCTTTCGCCCAAAGTCTGACATACATTCACATATAACTAGGTCAAATAAAGAAAGAATTTATAACCATTCCATCTTCTGGGATAGTTTGACAAAAATAATAATCAAATAAATGTTAAGAAAACAAGCAAAACTAAGCAATGTATTGATTAAGATACACAGATATTTGGTAAAACCTTAATTTGTAAAAAGTAAGGAAATAATAATTCAGAATAGTAATATATAGCTTGGATATTTTTTAACCCCCTCCCATTATACTGGGGATTGAGTGCGCTACCACTGAGCTACTTTACATCCCCAAGTTTGTTTGTTTGTTTGTTTGTTTTACTTTGAGACAGGGTCTCGCTAAGTTGCTGAGTCTCATTAAGTTGCTCAGACTAGCCTTGAACTTGTGATCCTCCTGCCTCAGCCTCCCAAATTGGTGGAATTACAGGCATGCACTATTGTGTCTGGCTTAGCTTTGATCTTAAAAGCCCCCAAAATGTCCATATGGTATAAAAGCTTGGTCCACAGCATGGCACTATTGGAAGGTGGTGGACCCTTTAAGAGGGAGCCTAATGGGAAGTCTTCTGGTCATGGTGGGTGTGCCCTTGAAGGGGATGGAGGGGCGCTCAGCTGCTTCTGTCCTTCCTCTTTTTGGCTTCTCAGGCATGAGTTGAGTTGATGTGCTCCACCATGCACTGTCACCATGATGTGCACCACAGGCCCAAAACAACAGGACCAATTGTTCATGAAGTGACATCTGCAAAACTGAAAGCCCAAACAAACTTTTTTTCTTTATAAGTTGATTAACGCAGGATTTTTTACAGTGATGAAAAGCTGACTAACACAGTGGATACCCTTGAGAAAGCAGGCAATGAGACTGGGGAGAGGCAAATAACTGCAATGGTATCAGTGATATGCAGGCTTGTAAGTTGGATAGTAGGTACATACTATTCATATCATAAACACATGGCTGGAGATATAATTCAGAAGTACAGTGCTTGTCTAACAATGTGCAAGACCCTTGTTCAATCCCCAGTACTGCCAAAAAAAAGGATAAACCTGTGTGCATATAAATTTCCATGAACTACTTAAGTACTATTATAATAAAAAATAAAGA